AAACAAAAGACAGGCATATGAATTGAACATTTACCTCAAGTAGATACACTCCTTGGAGAGAACAATCATGGGAGAAAGAAGGGCTGCTTATGCACAAGGAGACAGCTCAGGGGGCTGGAGTGCATGGAGGGATGGACACAGGGAAGAGGTAACTATGGGGAGAGAGTGGGAGGGGAGCTGTTGCATTGTGGTAAACTGTGGTCAATCTCATGAAACAAAGTATATGTGAACTGCTGTATGGAAAGTAAACTTGCTTTGTAAACCTTCACCCAAATCACAATTTAAAAAAAAAAAAAAAGGAAAAGGAATAAGGTAGTAATATCTGGTACATGCACACCATGTAAAGGATTTCATTTTACTTTGATCTACAATCAACAGTCATGGAAGCAGCAATCAGGAAATCAAATGATTACTGCATAGGGCAAATCTACCAAAAAAAGAGGGCAAAGCTTCTGCAAAAGACCTCTTTAAAGCATTAAGACACAAAGATGTCACTTTGAAGACTAAGGTGTACCTAACCTAAGCCATGGTATTTTTCAGTCGCCTCATATGCATGTGAAAGCTGACAATGAAAAAGAAGACTGAAGAAGGGTTGATGTCTTTGAATTATGGTGTTGCCAAAGAACACTGAAACCACCATGGACTGCCAGAAGAATGAACAAATCTGTCCTGCAAGAAGTGCAGCCAGAATGCTCCTCGGCAACAAGAATAGCCAGACTTCATCTCACCTACTTTGGTCATGTTGTCAGAAAAGACAACTGGAGAAGGATATTATACTTTGTAAAGCAGAGGGTCAGCGAAAAAGGGGAAGACCCTCAACAAGATGGATTGACACAGTGGCTGCAATGATGGGTTCAAGTACAGCAAAGATTGTGAGAACAGTACAGGATTGGGCAATGTTTCATTCCGTTGTACACAAGACTACTATAAGTCAGAGGTGACTCGATGGCACCTAACAACTGCAAAAGACCTCTTTAAAGTATTAAAGAGGAAAGATGTCACTTTGAAGACTAAGGTGCACCTGACTCAAGCCATGGTATTTTCAATATCCTCATATGTATGTGAAAGCTGGACAATGAGTAAAGGAGATAGCAGAAGAATTTGAATTGTGGTGCTTGCAAAAAAATAATGAATATATCATAGACTGCCAGAAGAATAAACACATCTGTTTTGGAAGACTTACAGATGGCAAAAGAAGAATGGCTAAGCAAACTATGGTACATACACACAACGGAATACTATGCAATACTAAAGAATAATATAGAATCTACAAAACACCGCATAATGTGGATGATCTTGGAGAACATTATGTTGAGTGAAATAAGTCAATTACAGAAGAACAAATATAGTATTAGTTCATTATTGCAAAAAGTCAAGGAAAGGTTTATATATGGAAGGAAATTTTCTTTGTTGGTTACCAGGGGTGGGAGGGGAGGGAACACTATAAAAACAACAACAAAAAAAATAGTAAAATAAGATAAAATATTTTCAAAAAAAAAAAGAAAGACTTACAGCTGGAAAGCTTCTTAGAAGCAAGAACATTTTGTTCATATTATAAGAAAGGAGCAATCCCTAGAGGAAGATATCATGCTTGGTAAAGCAGAGGGTCAGCAAAATGAGACAGACGGACAGAGAGGCTTCAGTGAGGAGCTCAAGCATGGCAATGATTGTGAGGATGGCACAGGACCAGGCTGTGTTTTGTTCTGTTGTAATAGGGTCACTGCGTCAGAAGCAACTCAACCACACCTAACAACATGTATGAACCTTGAAAGTATCATGTTAAGTGAAAGCAGTCAGTCACAAAAGACCACATATTATATAATTCCATTTATATAAAATGTCTAGAACAGGTAAATCTATAGAAACAGAAAGTAAATTCGTGATTGTAAGACATGTGAATTTTATCTCAGTAATGCTGCTAAAAACCAATGTAATAAACTATATCACATAATTTTTTTAAAAAATGACCATACAAATATATATCCAGGAAAAAATTGGTATACAAAAAATGTCAAGAATTCCCATAGATCAATAAGAAAAAATTAGATTCCCAGAACAGAAAAACTAGGCAGAAGACTTTTCACAAGAGAGGATTCCACGTGACCAATAAACATGCTGAACATCATAAGTCATTAGGGAGATGTGAATTAAAACCATAAAGAGATACTATCATGAACCACCAGAATGGCTAAAATGAAAAATTAGATATTGATGGTGTCAAAGACATGAAACAGCTGGAAATCTCATACCCTCCTGATGAGGATGTATATTGCTAATGAGCTTTTGGCTGTATCCATGAAAGCTAAACATCTGTAAATACAAAACACTCCTGTCCTACATGTATATACTCAACATCAATGTGTACCCACACACATAGAAAACATTATTTATACCAGTATTATTCTTAGACTCCAAAGAGTGGAAATAATCCAAATGTTCACCAATCACTGAATGGATAAAGCATGATATATTTATACAAAGGAATAGTTTATAGCAACAAAACGAAAAACCACAACTTTTCACAAAAGCATGGATGAATCTTATAAACATAATGTTGCACAAATGATCCAGATTCAGCAAAGCTATGATTCCATTTATATAAAAATTTAAAACAGACAAAATTAATATATGGCATCAGAAGTCACCACAGTGAATGACAGAAAGGAGCTCTGGTGGTATAGTGCCTAAGGCATTTGACTGCTAACCAGGAGGCTGGTGGTTCAAACTCACTACCCACTTCACAGAAGGAAGACTAAGCAATCTACTCCCATAAAGATTTACTGCCTCAGAAAACCAATGGGGTTTGCCATAAGTAGGAATTGATGACAGTGGGTTTAGTTTTTTGGGGTTTGGTAATTGCTTACCAGGTACCATACCATGCACTGTACATACATTTAATAATTTATTCCTCTCAGAAACACTATAAAGTAGGTAGTATTATAGCCCTTATTTTAAAGATGAGAAATCTGAGATACAGAGAGATTAAGCAACCTGCCCAAAGCTACCTAGTCATGATGCAGCAAAACTGGGATTATATCTCAGGCTCTCCAGAGCCACTCTTAACCACCATACTACCTCTGGAAGGCAACTGGCAACCATGGTTGCCTCTGAGAAGAGGATTTGGGGACTAGGAGATAGACTGATAGAAAAGCTTGCTTGTCATAGCACACTCTAGGTATTTTTTGACTGACTATAAGGTTGGGCAATCCTACTTCCGTAGTGATACTGCCTCGGAAACCCAAGGAGGGGTCGCTATGAGTCGGGGCCGACTCGATGGCAAACAACAACAACAATATTTACATGTATTATCTATTATCAAAGTGTATTTATTAAATTTTTTTCCTATTGTCTTATGGTTTATAACCCGAGCTACACAAAATGCTTTATTCAGAGGACAAGCCTAGCACATTGCTCTATTGCTTTACCTGATTTAGGATGCAGAGAATCACACTGGGCATTGTACATGTGTACAAATTCTTGGTGCCTTTTAATGAGCTGTTGTTTATTTCCTTGAGTAGATAATCCATGCTGTTTTAGCCTTTTTCTCAAATCACGGTCAGAGAGCAAGTTATAAACCATTTTGGGCATTGGTTTCCTTTTGTAAGCAGAACTGAAAAGGGAAGAAAAAAAAAGATCACTAAGGATTACTGTAAATTATCAATGCTTTTTATGTGAAACAAGAAAAAGGTTTCATGTAAAACCTTCTGACTGAATACCTAAGCCATTAAGAAATAAAGAAAAAGAGCAGAAGCATCAAGTTTGTGGATAAAGTTGACAGGCCTCAACATGATACATCTGAAGTACCTGTAGTACAGGCAGTATCTAGGTGATAGCCTGAAGTGAGACACTCAGGTGTCTGAAAGACGTCAGGCCCAAAAATGAAGGCTTGAGGCTTATCTAGAAGGCTTGTTGATCAAATGCTATGAGAATTTCACTTGGAATCACACTTAAGCAGTTTTGTTGTTGTTAGGTGCCGTCAAGTCGATTCCACTATGAATTCATAGTGCTCTGTACAACACAGCAAAACATTGCCAGTTTCGTGCCATTCTCATAATCCTTGCTATGCCTGAGCCCATTATTGCAGTCACTGTGTCAATCCATCTCCTTGAGGGTCTTCCCCTTTTTCACTGACCCTTCACTTTACCAAGCATGATATTCTTCTCCAGAGAACGTTCCTTTCTGACCAAATTAAGTAAGATGAAGTCTGGCCATTCTTGCTTCAAAAAATCATTCCAGCTGTACTTCTTCACTTAGAATCACACTTAGGTGGACTTACCTATCCAATTCTCTACTTTTTTAAAGCATGCTTTTCTTAAGATTGTCAGGACCTCTGGTGGCATAATGGTTAAAGCATTCGCCTGCTAACCAAAAGGTCAATGGTTTGAACCCACTAGCCACTCTGTGGGAGAAAGATGAGACAAACTACTTCCATAAAGATTACAGGCTTGGGAGCCCTACGGGCAATACTACTCTATCCTCATGGGTTTCTGAGTTGGATCAACCAGATGGCCGTGGGTGGTGTTTTTTGTTTTGTTTTGTTTTTTCTCCCTAAAATTTGTCCATGGTTTCCATGCAAAAACCCTGTGATAACCAGTTATATCAGATGATTAGAGTACAAACATTATTGAAGGTTAGACTTGATATATTATCATATATAGCTTTAGAAAAAAAAATTATAATTGATAGGCAAAACTGCCCCCCTTCAACTTCAGGCAATCAATCTGCAAAGGTACTATATGAGTACGAATAAAAGATGACCTACTGGGATAGTTAGCTTTACCTGATTCATTACCACCACTGAAAAAAGAAATGAGAAAGTTGGTGGGTAGATTGTATTCTTGTGGTATCATCTTCAAAGAATATAATTGAACACAACAAAACACAAAAGGGTTATGTTCAACCTCAGTGATTTGTGTCATAAATACTTAGGGCGTTACAAAAAAATATATTAGCAAAATCACTACCTGGCTTTTCACTCCATTTACAAAATTAATACAGTGAAAAGCAATAAACCATAATTTGAAATATAATGAAGTCATATTAATATACTTTCTCCTACTCTCTCCAAAGCAAGAAATAAACATTGCTTCTTAAAATGGAATAGCATTCAAGCTACTTAAAAGTACCAATGACTTGAGACCATTTCATAAAAAGGAACTCCTTAGTGGGTTTTAATCTCTTTAATCTGATGATAACACAGTTCTCACAGCACATTGTCCAGTTTAGCACTATGGCAATTAGATGTTTCATGAACACATATTCAAGGTAGTCATTACAACTGCGATCATATGAAATTGAGAATATTAAAGGCTCAGTTGAAAATCAGTAAGAATGTGAAATTAAAAGGCTTATCCAAAAAATAAAGTTTTACAAAGGACTTGTGTATGACTAATTCACACAAGGCTGTGTTTCCCAAACTTTAGTATACCTCAGAATCCACTAAAAGTCTGTTTGAAATATGTATTCACAGTCTCCTTTCCCACTCTAACCACCAATTCTGCTTCAGGTCTGAAGTGGAAACCTAAAATTAGTATTTTTAACAAGGTTCCTCAGGGTACATTTAATGCAAATGATCCAAAGGCCCATTTGTCCTTGGCTAAATTACTTCTTATATGCTCTGATGATAAAGTCTAAAAGCCACAGACAACTACTTTAACCATGGAAAGGCCTGCAACCCCTCAGCAGATTACATTTTTCTAAAAATTCTTCTTCTTATAATAACAGTTGGCTGGATTCTATATAAGACTTATAAAATTATGGCAAAATAAAACCACAGCAGGTAGCAAGAGCTGAATCATTTTCCAGGAGGTTGTACAAACACAGTGAGGGACAATTCATTAAATTCATATCTAAAATCTAAAGCATTTATTTTATCAATGATAGATGATTAAATTTATGACCGTGACATTCTAATAAAAAAACGGTTCTGTTCACTGCCATTTACCATGGAGAAAGCCAGCAAAGATTAACAATTCTAAAATATGACACCTGATAAATATTTCCCCAATATCAAAATGACATTAATCTTTATTCCATGATTTAGTGAAACTGAGTAAAGCATTTAAGGAGCTCTGAAGACATCAAAAGGAATCAGGTATTCTTTCAATCAACTCTGGTATCAATCTATAGAATGGGTTAGGGGTGTCATAACATCTAAGAGATGTCCCATCAGGGTGTTGTAGAAGACATCTAAAAACTGGGAAAAACTCATCTATGTGAGTAGAACCCAGGATGAGGCTCAATGATTCCCTAGCGGTATCTCCACAAACACTAATTTTCCAAAATGTAACATATGTTACAAGGACAAAAAAGTTTTATGGTTAAATAATTTTAGGAATCACTGGATTAAACAAAATGCAATATTAACTTTGATGTTGTTGTTGTTGTTCTTAAGTGCTGTCGAGTCGGACCCAACTCACAGCAATACCTACTTGGGTTTCCGAAGCAGTATCACAATGGAAGTAGATTGCCCAACCTTCCTTCCGAGAAGGTTTAACTTTGATGTAAGACTTCTCAAAGCCTTCAACGCATTAGCCTGTCAAGTGAATCTCTCCCTAAGAGAGAGACACACTATGCATGCTTCTTTGTCACACTACAGAGCAACCAGCAAGACTACTGTGTCCCATGGTACAGGATTTGGGAACCATTATTAAAACTTAAACATTTGGATAAGTATGTCTGTGGGAGAAATTTGCAGAATTATGTTAGAAAAAATATGACAAACCTATCTAGAAAAAAAGAAGTCCAGCAAGATAATCAGTACTGATTTTTTACTCTTCAAGGAGAAAAATGGTAAGCTTCTATACTCCCAACTCTTACCTCAGGAAGAAACATTTCTAAAGAGAAAATTAGGTCATCAGACTATCAAGGTTTACAGAAAATAATCCTAGGGATTATACATTTATTCTAAATATCTACTAAGTAAGCAACCTAAAAAGTAGAATTTATTCTTATCAATAAATTTATCCACTAGGAAGAAGTCCCGTGTATCCAAGAATGCCCCCAGGTTTCAACTCAGGTATGTAACCAAATATAAATTAATAATGCATCATTGGGCTTTATATATTGTTGTTGTGTGCCACTGAGTCAGACCTGACTTGACTTTGTCCCTCAGAACCTGCATTCACTCTGACTAACTCATAAAAGTTAACTGACAACTTTTTATCTGTAATCACAAAGAACAAAAAAAAATTTAAATGACTCTACCCTGCCAAGGTCTTTGGAAAATCCTCTTTCAAGTCCTTCAAATTGGTCCAACACAACAGTCAATCATTCTATTCATCTCTACCTCTCAGGTACCATTAATTTTTTTGGCTTCTCTTCCTCACTATTCCAAATTTCTCTGTACTATCTCCTATTCTCTCCCCACTTACTTAAAGATCCTTCCTGCATGTAGAGGTTAACTTCATTACTGAACTCATGACCCTCTTGTGCTTCTGACCTTGTTTTCATTTATGATCTGCTCTCTCCCTGGAGACAGTGGAAGGAAAGAGACTAAACGCTTAAATAATCTCCATTTTAACAAAATAAAATCTTTCCTTGATCTTACTGTCCCACTGCTTCCCCAAACTACCATCTCATCTGTTTGCCTGCCTTCATCACCAGACTTATCTAATTTATAGCTTCTGCATGCTTATTGTTTTCATTAATCACTGATTACTTAATACACTATAATTTAGCTGACTACAGTTTCAATCATGAACAACATGTACACAACAATAATGTACTAGTTTAATAAATTAGTGACTATGATTTACAAGAAGACTAGCACAGTAGTTTGAGTACAAATATTAAGTTGACAACTTATTAGTTGTGTCACCTAAGTTGTTTAGGGTGGAAAGGATATTAAATTTCATACATATTCTTTTCGAACCTTTATATATATGTATGTAAGTGCCTTTTCAAAAAATTAAATTTTTAAAAAACCTTAAGATTTTTTAAACCTCTGGACGTTCTAAGAGAGCTCTGGTGGTATAGTACCTAAGACTGCTAACTAGAAGGATGGCAGGTCAAATCCACTGGTCACTCCTCAGAAGGAAGATTGGGCAATCTACTTCAGTAGAGATAATGCCTTGAAAACCCAAGGAAGGGTTACTATAAGTCAACTCAACTCGATGGCAGTGAGTTTGGCTTTGGTTTGGTAGACACTCTAAGGCAGGACTTGAGGGCTGCTTTTCAATTGAGGGTGGCTCTATTTTAAGGCCAGGGCCTGAGGTAGGTGGGCATGGGGCTGATGGGCTAGTTTCACTTGGGGGCGACCTATTTTAAGGTTGGGGACTGAGGTAGGTGGGCATGGGGCTCAGGGACTGTTTTTCAGTTGGGGATAGCTCTAGTCTAAGGTTGGGGCCTGAGGTAAGAGGACACAGGGCCCAGGGACTGCTTTTGCTTGGGGACATCTCTATTTTAAGGCTGGGGCCCAAGGTAGGCAGGCGCAGAGAGGTCAGGAACAACTAAGGGACACAAACTTGTCTGTTAGCTTGTCTGTGGTGGCTTTCATGTTGCTGTGAGGCTGGAGGCTATGCCATCAGTGTTGCAAAATGCCAGCAGGGTTACTTCATGGTGGACAGGTTTCAGTGGGGCTTCCACAGAAAAACAGACTCAGAAGAAGGA